GGCTTCTCACCCTCATGCTGTCTTAGCCAGCCCACCCCCCACATTTCCTTGCTTAAAAAGAATAAGAGGAGGTTGCAAAACCACATAGACAGGTTTCATCTTTTCCAGGCAGGAGTGAGTCGAAAGAATAGTTCTCTGGCTTTGAAACAGGGAGCCAAGTAACCAAGTCAGAATCCTCGCCGGGGAAAGGGGGCTTGCAGACAGGCTGGATGAAAACGGCTTTTCAGTCCTGTGTCCTGGGTTTCTCTGGTTTGAACTAGTGGTTGCATTCTCCCGTCCTCTGCCTCCTTCCAAAGGGTGAGCATAGTGTGTATTTCAGAAAGGGAACTGAATGCAGTGGGGGTCTAGACCAGAGGGGTGAAATAAGAGAGGATTTATGCAAAGTCCGAGGCAGCCGTGATACTGCCGTTGGGGCCCAAGGAGCTGTGGCGCATGCTGGGATAGGGGTAGAAAGGTGAACGGGGCCCCTATTCCTTTCCAGCACAGTGCACCTACCTGACTAGTGTCCAGTAATGACTCATCGGATGTTTTTCATATTTATTTATGTTTGTGTGTATGTGTGTATGCATGCTTTGGGACACGATTGGAGGTAAAATGACAGCTCACCAGAGATTCCTTAACAAGGGAGAGTATAACAGGTTTATTTAAACGTTTTACAAATGTTGGGGCTGTTTGCCACACGTTTTGGTGTACGCCTTTAGTCCCAGCACTCCGGAGGCAGGGAGAGGCAGGTGGATCTCTATGAGTTCAAGGCCAGCCTGTTCTACAGAGTGAGTTCCAGGACAGCTAGGGCTACACAGAGAAACCCTGTCTCGAAAAACAAAACAAAAGAGGTTTATTTTGTGTGTATGGGCCTGAGTGTATGTTCATCACGCCCACAGAGGCCAGAAGAGGGCCAGATGCCCTGGAACTGGAGTTACAGTTGGCAGTGACTATGTGGGTATGCGGACTTGAACCTGGATCCTCTGAAAGAGTAGCTGGTTCTCTTAACCACTGGGGCTTTTTTTTTTTTTTTTTTTTTTTTTTTTTTATGTAGGGTTTAATGCAGCCCAAGCTGGTCTCAAATTGGTTATGTAACCAAGGTTGCCTTGAACTGGTTTTCCTTCATTTACCTCCTATGCCTTGTTTATGGGGGTTGAACCAGGGGTTCGTGTGTGCCAGCCAAGCACTCTGCCAGCTTCAGCTTGGGGAAGAGCTGCCTGACCTAGGGACAGATGCACATGGGTGGTTAGGGGTGTTTTTGTTTTGAATAGGATTGCTAATTGCTATCTAACTTGAGATGCCAGAGTCACAGGAATAAAGAGTCACCAGTCATCAATCAGCTCTTGGGCCACCTTAGAGTCCCAGAGGACAGTGAATATGGGAGATGGTGCTTTCCATCAAAAGAAATGAGGTTTCAGGCCAGGCGGTGGTGGCGCATGCCTTTAATCCCAGCACTCAGAGGTAGAGGCAGGAGGATCTCTATGAGTTTGAGGCCAGCCTTGGTCTACAAAGAGAGTTTCAGGACGGCCAGGACTGTTACACAGAGAAATCCTGTCTTGAAAAACCAAAGAAATGAAGTATGAAGTTTTTCTTTTTGTGGTTTTTTTGAGACAGGGTTTCTCTGTGTAGCTTTGCGCCTTTCCTGGAACTCGCTTTGTAGCCCAGGCTGGCCTCGAACTCACAGAGATCCGCCTGCCTCTGCCTCCCGAGTGCTGGGATGAAAGACATGCCGCTGCCACTGCCACCACCTGGCTAATTTGTATCTTTCTAAGGCTCACACATCCTTGCATACAGGCATGTGGGCACAAGGACTGTAGCTGACGGACACAGACAGTGCAGGGAGATGAGGGAAGACCATCTTCATCCACCCAGCTGTGCTCCCAGGGGACTTTCTAGCTTCTGGAGCTTGTAGGGCCTCTCAAGCCCAGAAGAAAACATTTGGTGTGGTGGCACACGCCTGGGATCTCAGTATTCAGGAGGTGGAGACAGGAGATCAGGCGTTAAGACCATCCTCAGCCACATAGCAAGAGTTCATACCCGGCCTGGGCTGCGTAGAGCCTTGGCTCCAATAAACCAGTGCCACTCAGATTGTTCAGCGGGCGTGGTGCTTGATGTGCAAGCCTGGGGACTTGAATTTGAACCCTGAAACTTAGGAGAGAGCAGGTTCCACAGTGTGCCTCTGACCTCTCATATGTCCTGAGGCCCTGGCACCCACCCCAACACAGAGATAAATAGGCGAAACCCATCTAATAAATAAGGCAAGCACCGAGAACCTGCGGTAAGGACAGACGGGTCCCGGGGCACAGCTGAACTGTGAACTGCAGGTTCTTCCCCGGCTTGTGCTGTTTCTCTCCGTCTTTGCTTAGAGACCTCCCCCCATCCCCCCACCCCACCCTGTCCCCACTAGAGGAAAGCCAAGGTGGAGGCCGGGGAGTATTTTCCTGGAAACGGACATCAAAACTTTCAGCTTGATGACAGCAGGCAGCTGCCTCTTTAGTGCCGGAGGCCTCGGGGGTTTTATTTGGGGTTTTGTTTGTTTTTTAGTAGCAAATGACATTAACTCATGAAAGGGGAATTCTAGAAGCTGTTGGGAGACAGCTGGTTTGCTTACCCAGCTGAGGTCCACGTGTGTGTGTGTGTGTGTGTGTGTGTGTGTGTGTGTGTGTGTGCATCGTCTTTTGTTTGGGCAGGTCCAGTTGCTGCTCTGAGACCCCACCACTGGGACAGACAGGAAAGGCGGGCAATCAGTGGGATGGATGCCACTTGTCCAAATGTGTCTCCACGCTCTCACCCTAAACATGGCTTAGAATCTTTACACTCCTCTCTCCCCGACCCCCCTCGGTGACCTCTCACTAAACCTGGAGCTTACCAACTGGCTAGACTAGCTGATCAGTGAACCCCAGGATCCTTTCTCCACACTCAGAGCTGAGATTACAGGACACACACACATACTTGAATTATCTCAGCCCATAGCATCTTTTCACATTGAGTGCCTGGTGGCTGTGGAGGTCTGAGGTCAGCAACAAATCTCCTGAAACTCAGGATGATTGTGAGCTCTTATGTGGATTCGGGGAATCCAACTTTAGTCCTCCGCAAGTACTCTAAACTGCCCAGCATCTCCTCCAGCCCCCCCCCCCCATGACTTTATTTATTTATTTGAAACAAGATCTCTCTATGTAGTCCTGGGTGTCCTGGAACTTGCTATGTAGACCAGGCTGGCCTACACAATTCCTCCTGCCACATCTCCTGAATTTCGGGACCAAAGGCATGTGTCACCACCCCGATGCCTATTTTTAAATACGATCTCCACCAGGCTGAGGAGGTTGCTCAGTGGGCAGTTTGCTGCACAGACCTGAGGACCTGCGTCAGGAGCCCCATCATCCGCAGAAAAAGCCAGGTAGATATGTCGGCTCCGACCTGTAATCCCAACACAGAAGGCAGCTGGGGATAGCCAGGCCTCTTGAGTTTGTTCGCCAGCCAGCTTAGCAAAACCAGTCAGAGACCCTGTACCAAAAAATAAAGTGGCCGGGCGGTGGTGGCACACGCCTTTAATCCCAGCACTCAGGAGGCAGAGCCAGGTGGATCTCTGTGAGTTCGAGGCCAGCCTGGTCTACAAAGCGAGTTCCAGGACAGGCTCCAAAGCTACACAGAGAAACCCTGTCTCACAAAAATAAGATAAAATAAAAAATAAATAAAGTGAAGAGTGACTAAGGGAGTCATCCAACGTTGACTTCTGACCTTGACACCCATAAACGCATACATGTACACACACCTGCATGTACGTGTACACATACAAATATATCCAACACACACACTTTAAACAGTCTTCATTCATTCTTCCATATTCCTGATTATTCTGTTTTCCTCTTCCTTAGTGGTGGAGGTTGCCCCCAGGGCCTTGTACATTCTACCACGGAGCTACATCCCCAGCTCGTTTTTTAAAGCTTTATAGGTGTCGGTGTGGGTGGTGAATGCAGGCTCTGGTGTGTGTGTGTGTGTGTGTGTGTGTGTGTGTGTGTGTGTGTGTGGAGGTCAGAGAATAACTGGCCGGGGTTTGCTCTCTCCTTCCATCCTGTGGGTCCTAGGGATTGGACTCAAGTCACCAGGCAGAGCCGTGAGCACATTCCCTCACTGAGCAATCTCAGTGGTCCTCTCGGGGCTCGGTGCTTTGGAGGCATCTTGTTCCGTGGCCTGGGCAGGTCTTGAGGTCTTGAATTTATAGGCCTTCGGCCGCAGCCTCCTGATTAGCTGGGGTTACAGGAGTCGACTTTCCCCTGGGTTCTGGTGTTTTAAATGCATCTTTCTCTGGGCTCATGTGCTTCAGAAGAAGGTAAAGCCGGCCTGTCACACGGGTGGAGGAAGGATAACTCAGAGCACAGCCTTCCAGCTGAGCCGGGGGTTGTAGCTTCACGGCGCCTGCCTGACACACGGGGGACCCTGAGTTAGATACCCAGGACTTTCAAATGAATGAAGTTGAGCTGGGTGTGGTGGTGCATGTTTAAACTGAGGCTGAGGCAGAACTGCTTGCGGTGAGTTCAAGACCAGCCTGAGCTGTATAGTGAATTGTAAGACCCTGTTCCAAAACAACAGATTAAGCCGATCCACATAATTAACAAACAACAAATTAAGCCAATGTAATGCCAGCACTCGAGGCAGAAGCAGAAGGATCAGGAATTCAAGGCCACCCTCAGCCACTTGTGGAGTTGGAAGACAGTGTAGCTTAGTGAGAACTGGTCTCAAAAAAAAAAAAAAGAAAAGAAAAGAAAAAGTGATTTAATTCCTGTCTTTTCCCTTTTTGATGGACTAAATATTTTCTTTTTTGGTTTTTGGGAATTGAACTTGCTGGGTACGTTCTTCTCCTGTATGATGTTACATTCTTTTATGTAGTTACATTCTCCTTTATGATGTTATGTAGTTACATTCTCCTTTATGAAGTTACATTTTTCTCCTTTATGATGTCATAGTGCAGGGCAGCAGTTTCAAAACAAAACAGTAACCACAAAATGTTATTCTGGGGGCTGGGCATGTAGCTTAGCTGGTACATGTGTAACATGTGGGAGCCTTGGGTCTGATCCTCCAGGCTGTGTAAACTGCGTGTGGCGGAACTGGTGTGTAACCCCAGCATCTGGGAGGGCAGGAGGTGGAGGCAGGAGGGTCTCTGATGCCAGCTAGGGCGACACAGTGAGAATGTGTCAGAGAAGCTGGGGAGCTTGTTAAGTCACACACAGTTCAAGACCTGGGCGACATGAGACCTTCTCAGAAAATCAAAGAGAACAAAACGGTCCTTCTGTTGGGGAGAAATGTCCAGCTGTGGAGGAAGGAACCGATGTGACCCCCCCCCCCCTTTAGATGTCTGAACGCCACGGTCTTAGCTTGCCCTCCCCTTTGAGGCGGACGTCATCTTCAGCTTGGCTGTTTTTCTGTCCTGGTGATTTGGAGTGAATTGGGATGATTCTGCCCATTTTGCAGGTAGGAAAGGAATGGAGGGTGTGAGGCGGCTTCTGAAGCTTCGGTCTCTTGTTTCATCTCTCTTTCCCTCCAGCCTTCCTCAGAGGCCAGGCCCTCTCCCTTCCAGGAAGGTTGTCAAGAGTCCCCTCTCCTCCTGGGGCATCCATGACAAAAACAGCTGCTCCCTGCTCTCAGCCCCTCCTCCCACCCCAGCTTCAGCCATGTTTCCCTAGGTTCACTTGCCAAATGTGTGCTCCGCTTGGATCCGTTTTCTGCTCAGAGGCACCCGCAGGCTTCACAGTGGGGGGTCAGGTGGGCATGTTCTTGTCATCAGACTACTTGAACTGCATGCCGCAGCTGAGAGCTAATGATGTCCCCAAACCCCCGTGCTAGAGGAGAATGCAAGTCCGGAAACCTTCGCAGTTTGGTGGCCAGAACAGCCAGCATTCTCGGGGAATTTCTCCCGAAGGGAGCTGCTTGCCGAGACCATTTGCGGTACTCGGCTCCTTTGATGTCAGCCTTTTTTAAAAATAGAATTTTTATTCTATGTGTATGGGTGCTTTGCCTGCTTATGTGTCTGTGCACTACCACGGGGTGCACCTGGAATCTGCAGAGGTCAGAAGAAGGGGTCAGATCCCCTGGAACTTCAGTTATAGACCATTGTGAGCCCCCAGGTAGATCCTGGGAATTGAGCCCAGGCCCTGTGGAAGAGCAGCCAGTGCCCTTTAACTGCTGAACTATTTCTCAGACCCTGATAATACCTTTTTTGAAAATGTATTCTTGCTGGGCGGTGGTGGCACACACCTTTAATCCCAGCACTCGGGAGGCAGAGGCAGGCAGATCTCTGTGAGTTCGAGGCCAGCCTGGTCTATTAGAGCAAGATCCAGGACAGGCACCAAAGCTACAGTACAGAAAAACTGTCTTATATCACCTAAGCTGACCTTCACTGACCTCTTGCCTCCCCCCCCCCCCCCCCCCCCCCCCCCCCCCGAGGGCTGGGACCACAGGCGTTTGCCCATACCTGGTAAAGGATCCTTTGTGCTGAAAGTCACCCCTTCATGGCTCCGTACCATTTCCTTAGCAGTTTATTAAGGATCAGTGGAGGGTTGGAAGGGGGGCTGCAGGCCTTTCATCCCAGCACTGGGGAAGCAGAAGCAGGCAGATCTCAGAGTCTGAGGTCGACCCAGTCTATATAGCAAGTTCCAGGACAGCCAGGGTGTTGCAAGCAAGAAGATAGATATGTGTAATTGACATAACAAAAGTTATATTTTATTATGCTGAGGGTCATCGCACAAGGTTCACACTCTAAATTCCTAACTACGGTCCTAAGCCTATCTCCCCAAGGCTACTCACCTATGTGACATATCTGAGCAGAAGGTCAGGTCCACACTCTGATAGAAGTCTCTGATTTAAGGGTCAGGATCCTGGGGGAGACTCTCCAGCTCCAGGATAGATCAAGGTGGCATCTCTCCAGATGTGCAGAGCATTGCTCTTGGTCTCTGCTTATACGTCCAGTGAGTGTCATGAGGCACCTAGGACTGTGCCTGGTTATCTGGAATGAGTGATGTCATTGGCTTCTGGTTATTAGGTGCAGCCTTGGGCGTAGTGGGATGCCTGACTGAGCTATTTTGACATGTCCAGAAGGCATCTTTTATATGCTCATTACATTCCATCCCCTGGTCTTTGAGGTATACACAGTGCCAATGGGGGCCACACATAAGAATTACTAGCAGTTTCCCAGAAATTGGCAAATTCAGGCCACAACAGGAAAAGGAGAAAGCATAGAATAACTATCTCAATTACTAATAGACAAATACATGCCAGAAAATTAATCTCAGGCATTAAAACATACCATTATTAAGCAAAGTGGTCAAAACAGTGTCGATCACAGGATACTGCTATGATCCCTATGGCATATACACATTTTTCCAAATTTATATTTTCCACAGGTTTGGTTTGCACCAAATTGAGAAACAGATTCAGAAATAAAAGGTAATGCCCTCACTTCCAAACAAAAATGTCCCAAAGTGGGGCATAGCAGGTTTGGAGTTGTAGGACTCTGAGCAGAACCAATCATAGAGCGTCATCCTAACTGGATCCGGGTCAAGTAGGAGGAGTCCGTAGGTCGTGGCTGTGGGCCGGGGGTTTTCTTCTTTAATGAAAAGAGCAACTAAGAGTCTAGTGAGCTTCAGGTTCCAGTGTTGTCTCTCAGTTGTGTGTATGCTAATATTATAAAAAAGCAGCTGGGTGGCGGCGGCGGCGGCCGCTTTTAATCTCAGCACTGGAGAGGCAGGCAGATCTCTTTGGTAGAGGTCAACCTACAGAGCAAGTTCTAGGACAGCCGGGGCTACACAGAGAAACCCTGTCATGAAAAACAAAACAAACTGATATATATTGTGAAAAAGCAAATGATAGATATAAAGCATCAAGAAGTCTGGCGAGTCTTTGCCGGCGTCCATCTTGGATCTAAAATCAATGTATACAGACCATCTCTTTTGGCAAAAATGGCAATTACTTGGTGGGGTAGAAACAGGAATCTGGAATACAATATTCCTTGCCTGAGGTGGTATGGAGATGATACATCTCCCGAAGACGTTTCTCCAGTCAGGGTTTGCACAGATGTGTCTGCAGGAACCATACACAGCTGGTTCGTCCCCTCTGGTGTGAAAGTGGTCTCTGGAGCTCACTGTCATAGCTCCTCCTAAAATGAAGGTTATTAAACAAGCCCAAAATAATCATAAGGAATTTGCATGTAAAAAAGGCCAATATGATGTATACCAAAAGCCAAAGGTTCTCCTTTATCCAGTGGAATAAGTTCCACGTGAAGAAGCAAGGATAGTCAAATCTAAACATACTACCAGTCACATCAAATAAAGAGCACTTTTGAAGGTTGCTGCTAACTTTATGGGACAGGCAATAGTGTCCGCGTTGAGTGCAGCTGATAAATGTTGGACTCTGTCTCTCTGCCTCCAGTGGAAATGTCATTAATGGCTTTCTAGTCTTCCCTAGTATCTTAGGGTTTCTATTGCTGTGATAAAACACCATGACCAGCAAGCAAATTGGGGAGGAAAGGGTTTATCTGGCTTACACTTCTTCATTGCTGTTTATCACTGAAGGAAGTCAGGACAGGAACTCAAACAAGGCAGGATCCTGGAGGCAGGAGCTAATTCAGAGGCCGTGGAGGGGATCTACTTACTGGCTGGCTTCCCATGGCTTGCTCAGCCCACCTTACAGAACCTAGGACCAGCAGCCCAGGGATAGCACCACCCACCATGGGCTGGGCCCTCCCCCATTGATTACTAATTGAAAAAAATGCCTTACAGCTGGATTTCAAGGAGGCATTTCCTCAGCTGAGGCTCCTTCCTCTGATGACTCTAGCTTGTGTCAAGTTCACACACAAAACCACCCAGTATACCTAGCAAGCCATCTTCATGTTCATTATTATATAGGTACCTGAGTCAAAACTGTGTCTCTGCGGGTAATGTCTAGGGGGCACTCACCAACCTAAGACAGAGCACCTGTGTGGCCTGAGCAGGCGTCTCCATGACGGGTAAGGTGACCTGCTGACGTCCCACGCAACCCAAGTCAGAAGCTCATTTTTTAATAAAAGGGGGACCTGCAGGGCCCTGGCCCCCATTTTGGGTAACTGTTGCCTTGCTTTCGGACCTTGACCTTGATATCCTCCCAATGCTAATTCCCTGCCAGGTTCCACCCTCCTGAATGCTTAAGGGAAGTTCCTTGTCTGTGTATCCTGAATAACGGGCATTAACAGCTCAGATGCAAGATTGTAAAACATCAGTAACGAACTTCTGCCCTCTGGGGTCCTCCCATTGTGCTGTAAGCCTGTATTTAACCTCCTACCCCCTTCAAGAAATGACATTCGACATTTAAAATAAATAAATAAATAAATAAATAAATAAATAAATAAATAAATACACATATATAAAATTGAATGAATACTGCGAATGTAATCTATGAATACCACAAATGTGATTAATATCATGAGTGTAAGTAATATCATGAGTGTAATTTAAAAAAAAAAATGTGTCTCTATTCAAACGTTAGGCCAGAGCTCTTGGGCAGGTTTACCTGTCCTGAGAAATGAGCTGTAACTCTAGCAGCGTTGTATACAGCCAACCAGGTTCTGCAGAAGAAAAAGTGGAGTCCAAGGTATCCTTGGTGATGTTATAGATGTCAACTGTGAGGCTGAAGGCCTTCATGGAGCATATGGTAAAGACTCCATTGCCAAGGTCTATGAGTTGGTTTGCAGAGACCGAAGGAATCAGTTCTGATGTTTGGAGTTCATTGGACAGAGGGTGGGTGGCTCCAAGTGAGATGATATGTTCCTCTAGGTAGTAGACGTCCTTTGTATTAGTCCAACTAGTTCATAGGGAATAGTTAGTGGGTTTAATAGATCCACTGCCAAGTTTCCTAGGCACCAGGGGTGTGTGCTAAGCTGGTACTGAAGTCTCTATAGACTAAGTGTAAATGTATTTTGCAGAATCCATGCTCACACTGAGAGGTTTGCATTGGGTCCAGGAGAGACTTGTAGATTGCCGTTTTTGTTCCAAATCCTGTAGAGAAGGGCTGAGATAGTTCTGTGTACTCACTGACAAGTGAGTCTTGCTTGGATACATTCTTCTCTTTGCCTGTTCCTTGAAGAAGTTGTAGCAGATAATTTTGAGAGATCTGGTTGGCTACAGCTAGTTTCTTCAAACTTTCAGCTGTATATTTGTTAGTATCCGCCAACAATTGCTTCAATAAATTTAGTTCTAGATGAAGGCGTGTAATCAGTTTGTGAGTTGTATCTAGTCCATCAGACAAGGTGCTAATGGCCAATTTTGTTATTCTGTAAGATTTCTGATGTCTACGATCTCCTCACTTACGTCTGAAAGAACAAAGATGCTGTGCCAGCTCCTAGTGAGGAGCCAACCAACACAGCTCCAGCAACCGCAAGGGTTTTCCTGCAGCAAACCCATTTCCTGAGGAGTAGGAGAAGACTGGTATTCTCCTAAATTCAGTTTCAGGGCAGCAGCGTTCTACAGGTGGGAGCCGTGACTTGATGTTGAAGGGAAGTGAGATCTTCTGGATCCGAGGTGTGACTCCAAGCCTTGCAGGTAGGCTGAGGTCTGATGTGATGCTCTCCCGTAGCCATCAGTGGTGAAGCCGAGGAGTCGCCAAATGCTGCCTTCTAGTGGGCTGTGAAGAATGTGCTGTTCTCCTCTCATCCTCCTCTATCAATGATGCACGGTGTTAGGCTGCCTTCTTGGATCCCGTAGAACTTCCAGGTTATGGAGAAGACATACGCCTCATCAAATGGGGGTCCTTTGTGCAGTTCCTACATGTGATATATTGACTATTGGCTTATGGGCCATGAAGTCTCCAATGCCCCATTCCTTGAGCTGTAAAAGTAGGAGACTCATGTAGAAATAATAGGGAAGTCCTAGGGGGGTGTGTTTCCAGGGTTCCAGTTTGGAAAGGTCCATATCTGAAGTTTTCCACCAATGTAAGTTTCTATGGTCTGCCTTTTTTTATGTGATACCTTGGCACAAAGGAGTCGTAGGATCTAGGGCATCCTCTGGTTGCAAATTGTATCATATCCGCTCTTGGGTTGATGTATTCACTTTGGTAGCTGGTATAAGTCCAGGCTGGAATTTCAACAGACTGTGAAACAGTGTTCCATATTCTGAGAGGAAACAAATGTGTGGTGTTCCCGGTGTGTATATCCAGAGGAATTGGGAAGAATATCATTTCATTGTTGTGGAGTATAGGCATGATATCACAGCTCCAAACATTCTTCCTCATTTGGCAAGTGGACTTTTTGGGTTTTAAAGATGGGTATATATCCCTGATAATTACTGATTATTCGTTGGTTTCAGTTTTCCTTAAAGATAAGTCAGTAAATGTAGTTGTCAAGTTGTGGA